GGAAGGGGCACCCTGTTCAATGAAACGGGCACCAACAGCCTCCGTTGTCATTGTGGTTTTGCGACGCGTCATCACAATGCCCGTGCTTCTCCATTACCGAAATTTTGCATCGGCTCATTCGGCAAAGTGACACCTTTCTTTCGGACCACCACTGCATTTATTTCCTTGGGACACCAAATGCAAGAAGGCGATCGAAAGAACGACTGAAGGTGGTCCAAAACTTCCCTTTCAAGGGGCACGGGAATACAGGGGCACCACAATTGCCCTGCCTTGCGCGGTTGAAGTCCTGGTTGGGCTCCTTCGGTGAAAAGGGAATAAGAACCTTAATTGCGGGGCATCATAACATTTATTTTTATGAGCCCCCAATTGAAAATGGAACACAGCAATCGGCCCAAACATTCATTTTAAGGCGATGCAAGTTTCCAGGAGCACTTAAAATGCCCCCTAAAGCTTTATTTTCACGGAGAACCGAATTAAGCACGACTCCCCTCACCTTCCCCCCCAGGCTCCAAAGGTCCCATGGGTTCCGAAGGGCCTTTTTTGGCCCCTTGGGGCCGAAGATCAAGAGCCCAATTAAAGGGCCGAGGGGCAAGCCAGAGGTCGTATGGATGGATCACTGCCTGAAGGTTGGACCCTAAAATGTAAGAGTAGCTCTAGCACTGATCGGGGATCATTGCGACTGTGTCTCTATTGGAAGCAATTGACTGAGAACAGCCATATCGAGCAGTTTGTTCCGTGCTATTCTGGGGCGTGGCGGTTATTTCTCGAGCAGAGACAAGACCAAGATCTATAAATGCCAATTACAAGGCATCCTACATTCGTCGGGACACCTGAAACAATAAAGGACCCACATTGCTGGTCAGTGACCACAACCCCTGTAAGATATCATGCGCCGACAATGAGCCCCAAGCAGTAGCACATTTGCTGAATAGGGACGATGATGGGCCCCCGTATGTCAAAGGGCCTATTGTGCTGGTCTGGATCCTCCTGATAATGAAAGAATTCATGAGAAATGACAAAAGGGTCATGAACAATGGGACAGTGGAGAGGCCTGTGCCAGCCAGGGACACCAGAACCGGACGAGGGATCCTCTGCACTATTTCAACCGGGGACCGATGAGGCGAATTAGTGTCTCGATGCCAACTATTGGACTTCCTGTGCCAGTAAAGAGTCTGTTTGCACTAGCGAGGGCCCCTGCGCCGATCCGTTGCTGGATGTGTCAGTTAGAGGGCCAGCCGCATCGAGGAGGAGACCGGTTGTGATGCATCCTTATGAGGGTCTCCGTACGGTCCTGAGGGCTATCACTGGACTAAAAGTCGCTGAGGAACCCAGGATGGGAAGTAATGCCTTCAGCTGCTGACCAGAACGTTTTACCAATGCAATTTAGTTGGCTGACCAGTTGATTCTCTGAACGTGTTCAGCAGTTGCAGCATTACCAGCAAGAGAAATTACGTCATTGCGCTTTCCCATTGCGCCTTCCTGTAATCCGTCCTGACTACCAATATAAAAAATGCACTAGTGAAACATCCGGCAAGGGGACACCTTTTACGCGCATACCCATTGACTTCATAAAGCGTTGGACAGTACCGAATTCGATACGTGGTCATTTCCACCCGTCTGTTGACCGCTGCCAGGCGTTGTTGCAAGGTTCCGTATACTACAGTGGTGTAGCTACAACATTTTTGTTCCGACGTCTCACAGAGCACCTCATGGAGGGGGCACCAAGGAATCACATACAGCCCGCCCACAATATTCTCCTCGCGCGCCGAGCGTTTACACCGAAAACACAACAATTTTATCATGCACACACAAAACGAAACTGAATATTCTGGATGCATTGCTCATTCACGACCACAAACAACTTCTAAACAAAGAAATGGATAAAACTGCTGAACTGTCTCTTTGGAGCAGCATCACAAGTGCATCACTTAGACAAGAAACAAGACACCGATCAATAGCGCGGGTGGTTGGCATGTAGTGTTGTGATTTGCTGTGTTGATTGTGTTATTCACAGCGTGTGGTGCTAATGATATCTTCTGCACTGCTAAAATGCTGTCCAGTGAAAAGTTTATTATTGGTTTGCATGTTCGTATTTTATGTTCCGATTTAAAGTGTTTAGGATGCCGAAATGAAATGAAGAGCCATGTATATAGAGGAGCCAGTCACCAGTCATATACCGTGCAAGTTCTGCGAAATTCGTGTGTCTGTCGTCACAAAATCACACATATCTATATATGTATGCACACATAATGAAACGCGATGTGCGATTCGGTCAAAAGCACCGGCCAGAACTAACAGGACACCATATCGGAGTGATCGGAAGCAGTAAACTTCATGGTAACTAAATCTTCACACATGCACACTTCGAAGATGCCAGATAACTGGAGAAGTTCTCTTACTTGTTAGACTTCAGGGCTGTATCCACCGAAAATCCTCGTATTCTGGCAACTAAGTTTTAATATTCTTATGTATGCAGTTCGAATACGGCAACCTAGCTTACTGCGCACAGCGCGAGGAAACTAGGCGTGCCGTGTATACAAATACATGGAGCTTGTTGATCTTCGTCGGATCATGGTGGATTCTGTCATTTTATGGCAAATCATTTCGAAGAAAACATGGCAGCACACACCTAAATTGGCTGCTAAGCGCCTTTAAAATCAGGCACGAACTTGATTCCTAGCTTTTACACGGTTAGCCGGGTAGTAGATGAGATCAGCTGATGGCTGAGGACTAATACAGTTTATACTTTGCCTATTGCAGGGGAATACAGCATATCCTATCCTTAAAAATATATGAAAACGTAGCGTACAGGTACAACAATCGCCACAACTTTGATAAACAATGAAAATAAGATGTACGTCGTCGGCGGCGTATAAAATTATTTTCACAATGACAATAACGAATTAATCGGCGCAATCGCCATAAACAGCCGTAAATTCCAGTCGGCGTAATCGCCATAAATTCAGTCATCAGTCGGTAAAAAGAAAAACCCCAATAAAAATGATGAAGATTTAGGTCCCCGTCAATGGCCTTGGCCCTCCTATAATATGGAAAAACCCGAGACCAATAAGGACGGCACCCGCGGAATCGAAACTGCCGTGGCAGGCCAACAAAGAAGCTCCAGTGAACAGTGCAGGGTCCTCATAACAATCGAGAAGAACTTAACAACAATATGGTGGCACCCTTGAACGATCGGGAGCACCCCGGCAGGCTAACATATAGGGTCCGACCGGAGTACAGGATCCCCTGTACAAAAGGCGCTAGCCGACGATCAGTGTAAATGTATTAAGGCCCCTGTGTGATCAAGAGTGCCCGGGCAGGTTAACAGAGAGAGAGAGCTCTGACAAGTGAAGGGTCCTCAACAAATAAGCTCAAAAAGGGAAAGGGCCATAGGTCGATGAATAGGGCCCCTGAGCATCGAGTGCCTCGGAGCGTTACTTTATATGGGGCCGCAGCAACAGCACGGGGTCCTCCAAGCAAGTGGAAAGAACCCGATACCAATGTGAAGGGCTCGTGAACAACCATGTGTACCCTGACATTTGGGGCCCAAGCAGTAGCGGCGGAGCAGGAGATCGCGCTTACCCCGCGGGCGCAGCGGTTCCTGCCGAGCCTGCGCCGCCCGCCATTTCTCCGGCCGCGCTGCAACCCGGCGCATCTGCGCCCAGTCCGTCGGTAAGCCCCGGGCCGCGGCCACACCAAGGCCGGACACAGCCGCCAGGCGCCTAGGTAATTTATCGTAACCATGCTTGACTGTACGCATGACGTGATCATCGGTGGAATTCCAGATTAACAGCGCATCTATTGACAAAAGAGGGAAAAAGTGGCCGGACTCACAGATGCTTCTGTAGTGTTATCTGGCGTCAGGAATCCAAACTAGCCTGACTGCCATGGAAACTGGACGTTTTGGACACTGGACTTTACGGCTCTGGACTTACCGACTCTGGGACTTTGGGCCCCTGGACCTTATGAACGCCCCTAATGGGCGCGAACTTGGCGTTTTCTGGACTTCTTGAACACTGGGCGCTGCGATCCCGGACGATATGAACACTGTACGCTGCGATCCTGGACTTTTTTATTGCTCCCCAGTGGTGGGGCACGGAATTTGACGTTTTCTGGACGTTATGACACTGGATGCTGCGATCCTAGACGATATGAACTCTGGACGCTGCGGTCCTGAACTTTTTGATGGCTCCCCAACTGAACAACGAGATCAGCAGTGGAGGTGTCACGGATAATGGGTGTCAGGTTCACTTCGATGCGCCTAAAGCTATTTTTACAAAGCTTATTTTGGCGTGGGTTATTTCTTATAGGCAAGCTGTGAATGGAACCGATCAACGAACTACATTTGAGTCTGTCAACCTACCCAGCCTATATAAGTACGTTAAAATTCATTAAACGCCGCGGTAGAGTGAAAAGCGACTATTGGGCATCTGAAACCCGCAGTGCTGGTCCAGTGGCGTATCTTCTCCGCGGTCTGCCCAGTCCCGGCCCCAGAGCTACCTTTTGACGTTGACTGCGCTCACGTAACCCCCGCGGCTGTAAAGGGAGTGTCCCATCTTCGGTACACATTTGAAAAACATACTCTAGTGAAACTTCAAGACTAGTTATTCGAATAATTGCAATGGGTAGAGCCACTTCCGCACCGTCGAGACAAATTAAGGATATCAATTATAATTTTTAGAGTCCAAATTACGTCCATCGTCCTGACAAACACCGTGCGCACCTCTACTGGTGCGAATAAAGGAACGTTTGTGATTGGCCTAGCGGGCAGGGGCCTCTTACCGGGAAGTTGCTTGGGTGAAGTATGCACCAGTGCGTCACATGGATCATGTGATGCTCCATTTCCCAAAGGCCGAAGAGCGCCTCGAAAAGAACTGCTGTGGTAAAAGCCATAGGGGGTAAATCAAAGCAATAGTATAACGCTTCGTAGAATCGCGGGATAATAGCTCTATGTTCACATATATGTTTGTCTAAACAGTGTTTCAAGTCTTCATAGCATTTATTACATAAACATTTGACCTGTTACATAGTGTGCTGCAAGCGTAACAGAACACACACGTTGGAAAAACAGGACAGATGAAATGCATTGACTTGGTGGTGGTGAGCGGAGCCAAATGAGACTTCTCTTGCGGGGTCGGCAAGTTCAAATGAAATTCTGAGCTATTTACAATGATTCCGAGAAAACTGGCATTTCTGATAAAACCAAACGCGTTTGATGTAACAATAAGTGAAAAGTACACAATAGGTGGGAGGACACTCTCATTAAAAGTATCAGCCAGTCTGCGCCGCTCGACAGCTGTCTTTCTCGCGGCCCGTGTCGCGTCCGTGCGCTCACCGGCAGGCTCCGACCGCCGGCGCGGCGGCTCAGGCTCACCATTCGGCCTCCACCTCCTTCACCGACTCGGGCAGCCGTCGACCGCGCGTCTCCGGCAGCAGCAGCGCCACCAGACCCGCGGTCAGTGCGCAGACGCCGAAGGTGCACGACGGCGCGCCCCAATAGGCGCGGCCGGCGGCGTGGACAGCGAACGGCGCGACGACGGCGCCCAGCCGGCTGACGGTGGCGCCGGCGCCGAACCCCGTGCTTCGCAGCGGCGTCGGAAACAGTTCGGCCGAGTAGAACGCCAACACGTTGAGGCCGGCGGCGACGGTGCAGCGGGCGGTCATGGCCAGCCCAAGGCGCGCCCAGCCGCCGCCGGCCGGCACGGCCAACAGCAGCAGACTGGGCAGCGCGGTGGCCAGCTGGGCGGCGACCACGGTCGGCCGGCGGCCCAGCGCGCTGCTCAGCAGCAGCGAAGCGGCGTCGGCCAGCAGCTCGACGGCGCCCGAGAGAAGCAACGCCGTGAACGCGTCGCCGCCCAGTTGTGACGCGTCCTCGGCGATGCCGTACGACACCAGGCCGTCCACGAACAGGCACCAGAAACTGGCCAGACTGATGCGGCGCATGCGCGGCGTGGCTAGCAGCTGACGGAAGTCGTCGGCGGTGGTGGCGCAGCACGAGCGCTGCTGGCCGGCCGAGCTGGCCAGTAACGCGGCGCCTTCGCTGCGGTGGCAGACCTCGAGGAGGCGCAACAGACGCACCCGGTCTGGCAGCGGCCGCCCATTGGCCGCCGCCATGTCCTGCAACACGGCGGCCGCCTCGTCCAGCCGACCGCGGCCCAGCAGCCAGCGCGGCGACTCAGGCAGCGCGCGCACCAGCAGCGGCAGCAGCAGCGCCGGCGCGGACAGCACCAGCTGCAGCTGCCCACCAGCTGCTGGTCACATACGCCGCTGCCGCCGTCAGCATCAGACCCAGCGCCACCGGCATCTGGAACACGATGCCGTAGAGGCCACGAGCTTCCGGGGAGACCGTCTCCAAGCAGAGCACCATCAGCGAACCAAACAGGCCAGGCAGGGCCAGCGCCAGTAGGGCGCGCAACACCATGAACACCGTCAGCGAGGACGCCGCGGCTACGGCCAGGCTGGCCACAGGGGTCAGCAGACCGTACCACATGGCCACCGTCCGCCGCCCCAGCGCGTCACTCAGCACACCCGACAGCATGAAGCCGACCAGCACGGCCAGCATGAAGGACGATTGTTCAATGGCGACCAGCGGAGAGCGCCAGCACACCAGCTCCCAAGCGACAGTCACTGTCGTGCCGTACTGGGTCAGGTCGAACTGCCAGCTGTTGCAAGGCACGAGGGCACTGTCGTTGAGCAGCGTGCCGTCGGCCGCCAAGGTCACGTTGAACATATTGCACTGGAGCAGGAGGCGCTGTCCGTTGGCGCCGGCCATGGTCGGCACGTACTGGTGGCGGTCGAGCATCAGCGGCTGCAGCGCCGGCGGCGGCGCGCACCAGTGCTCGGGCGCAGCCGCCTGCACCACCGTCGCCAGGCTGTGCAGGCCGAGCAGGAGCGGCGCCACGGCCGCCACGGCCAGTAGCCGGCGCTGCCAGGGCCCCTCACCGCCGGCCAGCGCCAGCGCCGCCTCGAACGATGCCGGCTGCTGCGGCTCAGCCATCGGTCGGACGGGGCGTGGTCGGGTCACTGCGGCCGGCCGGACCGTCAACCGTCGTCCACAGCCGTCGCTCGGCCGCGGCGCGCCGGGCGGGCTCCGCCGCCGCCGACGGCCAACGCTACCTGCGGACGGTCGCACCGGACAATTACGACTGGATATGCGGCTTTCGTGACGTAGTTGTCCCGCCTGGGGCCGGGCGGCCGCCTATTTCGTGCAGCCTGCGCGCGCAGCCCGGCGCCGCCGTCTCATGGCGACTGTGAGGATCAGCAGAGCGGGCTGTGCACTCGGCCCCCCTGGCCTTGAGCGAAGTTGGAATAGTGCCAACGAGCGGGCACGCTATCGGTGGCTGTTACATGATAACTCAGTCGGTTCGTTTCTAGCATGCTATGTACAGGGATTACATAGCTCGACAGCCACGCGGCAATTTGGCTATTGGCATCACAACAAAATTTGGCTACGGGTCGGTAACCGGTTTTCAAATTTTACAGCCATCCCCGCCTGCGTGGGAATAGCGTGCGCGAAAACGCTTGGCAGTGGCAGTCAAGTTCAAACATAGGTTTCACACTTTGGAACCTCCACAGTCACATTCAGCAGCATTTATGTAAATCTATCCGGACTATCCGTAAATCTATCCAGTTTTAGTATCTTGGGCAGGAGATATTCCTCGCTTGATTTGAAAACTTTTGAATACTTAAAGAAAGCGCGCATGACTATTAATAACAAAAACATGATACTTATTTGGAAATAACATGATTTAGTCGCATTTGTTGGCCACCATGATAACATGAAATATGACGGCAGCACCTAGAATGCCTGGCACGGCCGTTCCAGCCAACAAGCGGCCGGCCCCGGTTACAATGCTGGCGCAGTGGGAAGCCCAAGTGACCGCCACCTGAGAACAGGCTTCCGAAGCAGCCACCCCGTGGTGTTGAGTGTAACCGGGCCTGCGCCGTGCACTGAGGACGGCGCCCGCACGCCTCCCCGGCCGCTGCTCAAAATGCCGGCTGAGAGCGACAAGCGGGTACCGCGCCGTGGCGGGTGAAATACCAGGTGTACACAACCTGGTCTCTCCCCGGATTGGACACACTTATCTCTCGAAGTTGGGGGGCAGAGGCTGGAACTCAAAGTGAAGGACTTGAAGCCCCCAACTGAAAAGCAGCCACGCCCCCGCATGTGCATAAAGCACACGCGCAATTTTTCGTAGCTAAATGTATATCGTGTATATATTGCACGTCGCATGTCGTATGACAGAAGTACGCACGCAAGGGTTCATATGCAATAGTTCGTAACAAAATATTAATATGGTGTTGAGTACGCATGTAAAATATTCATATTGATTGAGTTCACCAGGACAAAAAGATCGCATGGAAAAGGTGGTATGTAGAGAGTACGCACGCCGCTAGTCGTAAGCAATAGTAAGGTGCGGGGCGGGGGCGGATCCAGGATTTCGTCAAGGGAATTTCGAAAGGGCACGCAACATTGTGGGGCCCTCTTGAGTTTGGGGCCTCTCCAAAAAAGTATTCTTGCTTTTCGGTCGTGACATTTTAAGACCAATCTTACGTATATATATATATATATATATATATATATATATATATATATATATACGGCGCATATGTATATATAGGTATATATGTATCTATATATATATATATAGGTTTATATATGTTTATATATATACCTATATGTGTATTTACTTATTCATTTGTTTAATGAATACGGCATGAAATACGGAATAAATATGGAAAAAATACGGAAAAACCAGTTTACTGTGCACAGCCCTATAAAACCAGGCGTGCTACGCATGTATACACATAAAGTTCGCTCATTTTCTACAGATCACATTAAATGCTTTGATTTTGAGGCCAACTGTTTTGAAACAACAGGCAAAATGAACTTCTTTTGGCTACCAACAGCCATCGAAACCAAGTATGGAATGATCCCCAGGTCATGTATTGACGACTAGCCGGCTGGACTATGTAATCAGCTGATGGGTGCTAACTAATGCAGAATTCTTCCTTTGTTATAAAGGAGTACAACATATCCTAGCATTCAAAGCATGTTAAGAACGTGATCCACTAGTATGCTAAGTGTCACACACTGAATAACCAATGGAAATGACGCATACGACGTCGGCGGCATGTCAAATTACGTTCGGCCATTGCGCGTAAAAATTCGTCAGCGTATATTCTGCTACTGCTCTAAGGCGAAGACACCAAGACCAGTAGGGACGGAACCTGAGCGATCATGGTAGCGATCAAGACCAACATGGGGACCCCTAAACGACCGGTAGTGCCTCGGCAGGCTGACATATCAAGCCCCGGCCCTACCACAGAACCCCAGACCAAAGGGGAATTATGCAAGACCATAAATTAACACCCCTGTGCCATCAAAAGTGCACGGGCAGGTTAACAATACGAGCCTCGATAGGAGTGAAGAGTCCTCCGCAAATGAGACCAAAGGAAGAGAGACCTCGATCAAAGTAGAGGGCCCCTGGGCATCGAGTGTCTTCGTGCCTCACCTTATAAGAGCCCCAGCAACAGCACAATGTCCTCCAAGCAAGTGGAAAGAATCCGAGACTTATACGAAGGGCCCCTGAGCAAGTGAGTGTACCCTGGCATATGGAGCCCCGGAAAAAGTGTATAGAGCCCTTCGGGCGAATGAGAAGAATCCGTGGAGGAAAACCTGATCGATCAACAGTACTCAGGCATGGAGGCAGATAGCGTCCCAACATTGGGGCCTACGAGAAAATGCAGAGATTGAGGGCAACGTGGAAAGGTCCTTAGCGAGCAGACTGACCCGGCAAGTTAACATACAGGGACAGACAACCAACAGCATAATGCCTCTTGACGGCGTAATGGGCCCAAAAATTTTCCCCACACAATACTTGCTCAATCAGGGAAGCGTTAGCTTTCTTTGCTTATGAACTCTTTACTTTTGTTAACAATGGCCCTCGGTCGTCTGTGACCCAAAATCATCCAATTTTGTTGTTTTTATTGTACGAAAACTGCGTCCTTCAAGCCGGTTATGGGCCCCTTCGGAGCCTTTAGGTCCCCTCGGCATGGTCCATGAGTCATGATCCTGTGCCTCGCCCCCCTCCCCCCTCTGCATCCGCCACCGGCTCGAGCAGCTGAATAGATGAGGCCCACTAAGAACATAGGGCCAACCAATCAAATAAGAAATACTCACGACGCAATGTGTAGGGCTCTGAACGATTGAGTGCGTCCAAGTAGGTTAACATATAGAGCCCCCGTCAACAGATTTGGGTCCTCCAATCAAATAGGAAGTACCCAACACCCAATGTAGAGCGCCCCCGAATGATCGTGTGTGCACGAGCAGGTTAAGAGGTAAGGCTTCCAAAAAGAGCGTAGGGGCCTCCATCCAAATAGGAAGTACTCAAGACCCAATGCAGAGGACCCCCGAATGGTCCTGTGTGTCAGAGCGGGTTAACATAAAGGGCCCCGTCAAGACCGTAGGGCCCTCCATTCAAATAGCACGTACTGAAGGCCCAATGTAGACGGCTCCCAAATGGTTGAGTGTGCCCGAGAAGGTTAACAAATAGGGCTCCCAACAAAAGCGTAGGGCCCTCCATTCGAATGGACAACACCGAAGACCCTATGTAAATGGCCACAGAATGATGGAATGTGCCCGAGCAGCTTAAGGGGCCCAACCAGAGCATGGGGCCCTCCATTCGAATAAGAAGTACCCAAAACCCAGTGCGGAGGACCCCCGAAAGACGGAACATACCCGAGCTGATTATCAGGTGGTTCAGACAGGATGGGAGTGTAGGGCCTGTATTTGAATTACGATTCGAATGCTAAATGCTACGGTACAGTACGACGGTACAATCAAACGTTACAGAATCGACAGGACTAAGCAGCCGACCCTCGTCCGCGCTCCTCCGCGCCACCCAGCCGGCCGCCGCCGCCGTCAGCGCCGGCCACAATCCATCTCGTGCTGCGCAGCTTGTGCGGCTCTCGTGCCTCTACGCGCCGGGCACCTCCGCCCCACGCAGCCGCCCCCCCCCCCCCCCCCCTACGGGTCGTTACAATAGCACTGCGGCGCCCTCCGCAGGCGGGTGCTCCGACGCGTCTACAGCCGCGCCAGCACCGTCCTTCGCCTCCGGTTGACAGTCCACACACGACACGTACATCGGCGGTCCATCGTCGGCACTGTCACTGTCCCCACCGCCGTCTTCGCCCCCTCCGCACCGAGGCCGAACGTCTCTCACGCGCCACGGCACTCCGTCCTCTACCATCTGCCGCGACACCACGCCCGTCACTGTCCCGCGACGCAACGTTTCCGTGCAACGCGTGCCTCGGCGACGCATCCACACTCGGTCCCCAACTCTAAGATGCGCACCGTCAGATACGGGTGGGCGTGGTTCTCCAGCCTCAGCGGCGCCCGCCGGCACCGGCCGGACGCAGCCCCGTACAGAGTACCGATGTACTCCCGACGCTGGCGCGTATTTCGCCGTCTTCCCATCGCGGGGGGTCACATTATGAAGGTGGGCCGCCTTGGCCACAGTACAACGACGCCTCGCAGCGATGATCTTAACGGTCTGGTGTCAGCGTTCCACCGCTCCGTTGCCACCCGGCTCGCGAACAGCTCGGAACCTCATGGTCACCCTCCACCGCGCCGCGAGAGCGGCCACCTGGTGGCCACGAAACACAGTGTCATTATGAACCAAAACCTCCTCCGGAGCCCCACGCTCGAGGAACAGCTGTTCTAGGTGACCGACGACCTCGGCGGCACCGGCGCGGCGCAGGGGCGCCACACGTAGAGGCGGGGTGGTCCGCAGCCGATGATGGTGAGGAAGCTCTGTCCGTTGTGGTGGGCGACGTCAATGGCGATGCGCTGCCACGTGGCAGCCACGCCGAGCGAGCCGTGTCGCCACCGCACCAGGCGCTGGGTCGATCGAGTGGCACGCATCACAGCTCTCCAGCACCGCACGTGCTACGGCTCGCGTGACGTCATGCGGTACGTCACGGCGTGCAAAGTACAGGGTTCGACGGACTCCTGGGTGACCAGCCCGCTCGTGCGACTCTCGGACCGACGCGCAAAGCACGTTCCCCGCGCCACCGGCGGCATGCGCTGCGTTATCACCGGGTGGCGGCGGCTCGCCCACGGTCGCCGCGCAGACGCCCGACGACGGCAGCTCGGCCACAGGAGTCGCACTCGCATCACAGAGCCAC